AGGACAGGTCATTGTGGGAGTTACATGATTTCATGTCAACTTAAAGACATAAAAGTGTAAGGGTGGTATGCAGCGTGTCAACCAGGTCACAACCTAATGGTACCTCCTTGTGAGCATGACCTTATCATAAGGGGAGCCTGGGAGCCTCCCCTTTCTCCCTCTACCTTCACTTACCTGCTGGAGGGCCACTCTGAAACCTGCCAGAGCCCTGTGATGCTTCCTCCGCCATTGGATCCACAAGACTCTGCCCTGTGATTTCCCTGCACTGTGCATCATTGCATGTGGCCTCGGGAGACTGAAGAGGAACTTATGGACTGCTATCAGACTTACAGACTTGCGTTGGACTGGGCTGGGATGTTTTCTTGGTATACAATTACTCCTTGATATAAAGCTCTGTCTTATACATATTTATGTCACTGGATTTGTTTCTTTAGTCAACCCGGCCTAGCGCTTATGGCTCAGACCACTGATCTATCGGGTCTTTGTTGTCAGGTCTCCAGAAGTCCATCACTGAGCATTTATTATGCCATCTTAGTTGGAAAGCAGAGTCTGGAGGTTTTTTTGGAACTGGCTCAGCATCGTAACAGCATGCAAGTCGATGACGTCCAGGACAAAAATTGTACCACTGGACCCCCATGGCTAATAAACGACCAATTGTTCATTTATCACAAAAGGTTAAGTTCCTACTACAGGCAACTCCTGGGGTGCAATGGAAGTTATTCCTACGTGTGTGTTTAAGTCAAATTATAGGTAAGTCAGAACAGGTGCACAAGGTCTTAGTTAGGTGGCTTGGTGGGTTACCTGTGGGGCTGCTAACTGCAAGGTCACTAGTTGGAAACCACCAGTGGGAGAAAGATGAGGCTTTCCACTCCCATGCAAAGTGACAGTCTTGGAAACCCACAGGGCAGTTCTACCCTGTTCTATAAGGTCACTATGAGTTGGAATAGCCTTGATGGAAGTGAGGTTGAATTTTGGTTTTGTGTTTTATGCACAGAGAATAGCAAGGGATGTCAAGATCCTGCTTGTGTGGTTCTTACGATACAATAATAGGATAAGCCTTGTTGATAAGTAGTAATCAAATGTATAAGACAGAGATCAGTGCCCTGGAGAGAGGAAGCAGGCATGACTTTGGGAAAGAGATTGCATTAGATTGGGTTGTTAATCTTTACATGGGCTTGTGAAAAAGAGGACCGACGTGGCGAGGAAAATTGAAAGGGCATGCAGAATCTTTACAGACTGAGGAGTAAGAGTTGAGAAATAGAGAGGGTTCTAAGAGGGTAGGAATACAAGAGGGAGAAGGAAAACTAACTGTTGGAGCAAGATGCCCAGAAAACAGGAAACTAAGAGCACAGGAAAAAATAAGTTTGGACAAAGGATGGCTGCTGCTTCTGAAGATGGAGAGAAGGTGAATGAAAGGTACAAATTCGTGTAAAGGTCCAAAAGCAGAAGGCCCTTGGAGGTTCTGTCTGGCAGCAAGCATTGGCCTAGCTGCTATGAACTTGGCTTTGTACTGGAGGATCGACTTGGATACATAAGGAATACGATTTTTAAATCTGCTTTCTTAAATGCAATATGACTAATGAGGAACTGGTAAGAAGATTGACGGGAACCTTGGTGGCGTAGTGGGTAATGCATTGGGCTACTAACCACAAGGTAGTGGTTCGAAACTACCAGTTGCTTTGTGGGAGAAAGATCAGACTTTCTCCTATAAATATTTACAAAGGCTTTGCATCAGTATTATCTCGCAGGGAGTGAGCCTGATAGAGCTAGGCTGATGCAGCCAGAGCTCTGGAGGAGCCACATGGAGACCCCTGCCAGTGCTGAGATGCTTACACCACCACTGGATCCACAAGACTTTCCTTCTACTGGCCTGTGATCTTCCTGCATTCAGCATCATTGCATGTGGTTCTGGAGTCTGAAGAGGAATTTATAGATTGGTATTGAACATATGGGCTGATATCAGACTTATGGACTTGATCTGGACTTGGCTGGGATATTTTCTCAATATACAATGACTCTTATATAAAACTGTTTATTTCCTTTTTTAATCATTTATATGAGTCT